CCAATAAATAAACATTAAAAAAATTTTTTAAAATAAAAGAAAAACATCAGAAATCGCCTGGGTCCAAGTCTGAATACGTATCGACACGTTTGATAATACCACTTCATGGTTAAAAATGAGATTTCCTTTGTGAAAGACCAGCTTTAAAGACAGCAATGTCAGAAGAGACATTACAAACATACTTTGAGTCACAGCAGCATCATTTGAGAAAACCATATGTCTTCCTACGATAACTATGTTAAAGAAGAGCTTTTATTTGGACATTTAAGGTTCGGGGCGTTCATTAAAAAAAAAATAACGGCCTGGTATTTGGTAGTCTTAGCACATATGCATAATCAAGACTCGATGATAAAAGTTTATGCGTTTTTCGAAAGCACAGTTCCTACTTTTTTCTTTTGTTGCTGTCCTACCTTGCATTTCTAGTTCTCCTTTAGCACAAATAGAAGAATGGCAAGGATGTGAAACTCTAATCGTTTAATCTAACGATAGGAAAAAGTTGGGCCAGGGAAGGTGTTAAAACTATTAGTCAGAATGAGGCCTGGGGATTAGCTGCAGATTTTCGGTCTCAGTCGCAGCACGGTTCTGGCAGAACTGTCAGAGTTCTTCTACCCAGAACCGGTTTTGCTGGTTGTGCCACAGCGTCCCTCTGCGCAGTGACACAGGCAGCAGAAACAGTCTGCAACTGGACGTTCTTTTCCCCTCAGGGTCTGTGCGGTCTGGAAGCTCATGTAACACGAACTGGTGTCCCTGGGTCCCTGGGTCCCTGGGAATGACTCGGTGATATCTGGGTGGGTGAGGTCCTGAGTGTCCACGCTGTCACAGACTGGAGATTGATGGGGGTCTGAGCACAGGGTGCCAGCACTGGAGTTTGGGCAGTCAGACGCTCGTCCCGGCCCCGGAATGGCTGGCTTTGTGAATTGCCCCTCCCGAGCTGCGGTTTCCTCAGCTGGCAAATGGCAGGAAGAGGTGACAGAGAATTAAGGTCCAGTCCATGCGATTCTGTTGGGAAGGTCACAGTGCTTCATTCTTTCACGTGACTCCCGTTTCCAAGGTCCTTTCACTTTTTCTTTTTTTCCCTTAGCCAAACGCTGGTACCTACAAAGTAGATCCGTTGCTCGCTAATCCCCAAGATGAGGAATTCCCAGGCAAGACCCTATTGAATTATCGAAGAGCAGTGAGCTCAGATTCCTGGCACCGAGCACTGCCTTTCTTCAGGCGATGACATCACCC